TCATGAACAGCTACTGCTTTAAACCAGATGTTGCTCGAGGCTTGTTTCCATCTATAGTCTCATTGCAAAAGGCCTGTGAGACAGGCCTCCTCTCTGACAATGTTTAAAACCAGGTTAAAAACGATGCTGTTTAGCTGTGCATACAACTGAGGGATTTTATATTTTTATCTTTCGTTTTAATGTTCTGTAATTATTTATGATTTTAATGCATCTTGTTCAGCACTTTGAGTTGCCTTGTGTATGAATTGTGCTATACAAATAAACTTGCCTTGCCTTGCCTTGCCAAATGTTTTCAGTGGTAAGGGAAATTGTAGCATAATCTTAATTTTAAATTCTGTTTTCTTTACTGTGTCGATGAAACACATTAGGCTTGTTGCTAAAATTCTGGTGCATTTAACAAAATGAATGTGATCATCATCGTGATCATCACTCCGAGCTGTTCCAGTCAAATATATAAATCAAGCCTACAGACACAGAAGAAAAAGTAAACTGTGTGTCGAGCCCCCATGATTGTGAGAGCGCTAAACATGGCATCACTGTGTCTATGCATTTTCTTATTTCAGTTCCTTATCCATTATGTTGCTGGACTTTTATTATTTAAATTACATAAAAAGCTCTCCATTGGGGGGAATGATCACTGACAAAAAGTTATCTCCCACTCTTGTTATGAGATGTAAAAAGCTATAATTGTATGGAAGTGTGTCTTCTGCTTTTGGTGTGAAGGATGCCTTGACAAGAGCCACTAGAAGTTGTAGAAGTGGCAACTTTAGAGCTTATCATAATGTGCAACATTTTCAAAAGCAAAAAAGGCCCAAAGGAATTGGGCGTATGAAATTAATCATATGACTTGATAGGTTTAAGGACCACCAGTGAAGGCCATTTCTCGAATGCATTATCTGCATTATGACTTGCGGTCATAAACAATGTATAAGTCTTCAGAATTGTAGATTAAATGAAAAGGGAAAACCCACAATAGTATCTGTCTTTGCTGGAATAGCTGTGTGATGCATTCATATTAAGAGACGGACGTTCCTTCTGGGAATGCAGGTAAATGTAAAAACAAAGTGTCGATGTGAAAGGAATGACAACTGCCAGAGCTGCATTTCCATACAAACAGCAGGACATGTTCAGGGGGCATATTTAATGGACATAAAAAGATGCATATAGAGAGATGATTTTCTGTATAGGATGAGAGACAAAGAAAAGATTATTCCTCAGGGTGGGCAATTAGACTTCACCCAATAAAAAGATATGGGACAAAAGAAAACAGTTCAATTATATTTTCAAAACCTTTGTGCCAGGAATAAACAAAACACTTCACGGTACCGCAAGAGTACATATCACACAGGTTCTTACATTGGAACAAGATACATGAAAATTGTAAATTATATGTGACTGTTTGGAGTAATGCATTTTACTGTGCTCTAGTTAAATGTATTATTCCAAATCATATATTTTAAATCTTTATGGAAAGACATGATTACAGACAGACAGCCACAGACATTTTTCATAACTGCTTCTTCAACAACAAACAAACATTGGGCTGTTCTCACATTTTTTCTAGATAGTGTGTAAAAAATATGGATTCAGTGGGGATCAAGCTAATTGTACTGTGAAAATCATCAAAGCTGTTCCAAAAAGAATTATGTAGTAATATAATTTACAGTCTCATTACAGTAACTGCTGCTGGAAATATTTTACGGTTTGGACAGAAGCTGTGATCCAAGATAAATTCATGTGTCCATTTAAAACGCTGAATGGAAGTCAGGTCAATATTGACATCCAGAATTGAAAGCCAAAGAACTTTGTAATTTTTGCAGTTCTGCCAAAGATCTTGTTAAGTCTAAGGCAATAGTTTATAAATATATCTGGTGTTGTAACAGCAGTGCGTATTGAGTTATTTCCTTTAACATCCCTTCTTACACCAGGAGTTTTTAGCTTTTTAGCTCGATCAGTTTAATGTGTTTAAAATATGGCCCTAATTACAAGAGTAGCTCATCTGCAAAAGTTGGTATTTGCTGATTACTAAGAGATAATTCATCACAATAAAAACCTTATACTTTTATAGCACCAGTGAATCCAGACATTTACGGGCTCTGTATCTCATTTTGCTCTTGTTTAGCCTTTTCCACGGCTCCGCTTTGCCGTACTATGCTGATGTGTCACTGATCATACAGCCGCATTAGAGCTGTTTGCCACATCAATAACCGTGATAGGGACCAGAGCCCAAGACAAATAGTGCCCGGAGTGAGGCTTTAAGTGACTTCTGTGTTTCAGCCGTGCACGAAGCAGGAGTCCTTGGGAGGAGCTGAATTAATCCTGTAGATTTATGACTAAATCTGTCACGGATGAGAGCGGAACAGCCCGGCCCCTCTACAGAACTCTCCTCAGAGAAATACAGGCCTCCGAAAACACATGAGCGAAATGCGCGCGCTCCTAAACGGCCCTGATGATTGAGGCACGTATATATCATGCTCCGGGCCAAAACGTGGTCAGGACAGTAAAGGGGAAAAAAACAATTTGGGATTATGTTCAACGTAGTGTTCAGTTATACAAGCTATACTTTAACTGTAGCTTTGTAATAATATGTTGAGTATAATTTTGACAGACACAGAAACAGATCTAATAGTGGTATGAGAGGAAGATCAACATACAGATTAGTTTAATAATTTAGTTGTTTTTCACTATAATTTGGTGGTTGATAATAATTTACTGACAACACTTTCATTTACTCATTGTTAGTGGTTGTGTCAAGCCATATATTGTCAAATAAACATGTTTTATATTTTCAAATTATGACATCATTGAGGCACTCAATGGAGATCTCAAATTTAAGAATCCAGGCCCAGAGGGGAGGAGCCCCTTGTTTTTTTTTTTTTTAGGAAGGGAAGACAGAAAGACCCTGCCAGAGGCTTATAATCAATAATAGATCTGCACCCATATTCAATTCGATTGGTATCCGTAGATCTCTGATTGATGAGTGATTTTCAATAATAGACATGTATAATATCAATGTTTGTCATCACGTCTTGAAATTCATTTAATTTCAATTAATTTTTTAACAACCCTAAATGACAACAGCAGTTGTCTCTGAGAACTTGACAGAGTTCTGATCAGAGAATCAAACAATTTGAACACAAAACCATTAATAACAAACACGTAAGTGCAATTGGTCCATAGGGAGCGGGATGAGCAATGTCCATAAATGTGTATAAATGTTCCAGATCATCACTGTCCACAGACTCTCCTGCGTCGGCAAGGAACCCCAGGGATAAGAACATTTACAGACTAACATAACGAGACCCAAAGGGCAATACACAAATAGTGAGTGATGCTATAAATAGGCAAATGTCTTGACCGATCGCCAAAAAGACAAGCAAATATTGTTTCCCTAGTTTTAAAATGATAACAATGTATGCATCGAAGGGATTAAAGAAAGTGTACGGCAGGGAGGCAGTGTAATACAAATATGTAAAATCTACATCTTAAAAGCATCGGAAGACAATTTACATAAAGCAAGAACACAAAAATAAAGAGCACTTATGCAAATGAAAGGAGGGCTGCATAAATTACGTATAGTTTTAAAACGGAGCTTCAGGTATGGGTTACTGACATTTTAAACTCAAACATGGACTTGATTTTGAAAAAACCATAGTAGCAGAACATACTGTATTTACATTGTAGCTGGACTGTTTTATGCATGGCTCCATTTGAATGAATCTCACCGTATGTGGTGGTAAGTTACTGTTGCATAACCCAGGGCTGCTAACATATGCATGGTGTCTTGCCAACAGTCACTTCAGCAATGAGAAGAGCAAAAACTGAACCTCCAACACTTTGGGATACTGGAAAAAGCTTGGGCAGTACGATTTTACGATAAACATATATGATCATTTGTTACATGCAACAATGATCTACACTTTAAACACTTTTATTTTTGAATTGTACTATGGATGGCGCTATGTTTGGAAGAGGCAGAAATATTGGCTGCAAAACTAATGGTAATACAAATATAAATGACTCACAAATTTCAGAAATCTAAATCAGGTCAAAATCACAGTTAGCAAGGTTCTTTTCTACCAACTAACATTTTTCCAAACATTCAAATTGTGTGCCCACTGTTGCATTAATCAAGGCTTCTCAAGATTATCAGACAGGAACTACGCACAAATCTGACTCACCACCCGCACAGAACAAAATTGTTACTTGCTTGAGTCATATATTAAAAGTAATAGGCCACCGTTTTTACATACGGACATATGTTCTTACCTTACCTTAGACTAGTTGATATGTACCTGTCTGGTCTTTGTCCGTGCGCTCTGTCATGCAAACGGAGCACAAACGCAGCCTCTTCCACAGACTGTATAGTTCCAAATCAGCCCCCCTTTAGAAGCTACCAAACTTTTCCACGTGTTCCCTATTTAAATACAGTTACGTGACGTGTTACACTACAAAGTATAGTAACACAGAAATGTAACATGTCGATTTTCTCAGCGGATAAAAAGGGGAACTATATTGTGAGGCGTAATAATACGAGGAGCGCTACGTCCGCGCACTAACGTCCAATAGAAGCAGCATGAGCGGGAGAGAAGTCTATAGGAGTTAGGAAAGAGTCCATTGTAAAATGCTGGGAATTTTTCAGACAAGAAAACATGTCTCTTGCATAGTCCTGTGAGTCACTATTTGACGCTTTGGGCTGAGAGCTGTTAGGCTGAGTGTGGGTGGGCGTCTCTTTATCACTTTAACAGAGGAGAAAGCTAGTGACAGAACCAAACTGTTAGCCAGCCTGTAAGCCAGGGACTTCATGGTTGGATTTCATTATAATTTGTTGTGGTATGAAAGTTAGGGACCCCAGGTTAAAGCTCCACGACCCACCCCCTGGCACACACGCCAACCTGAGCAAACCTGACTTCTAAAAATAAAATGTGAGGCTGTGGGGTCTCTTTTTCCCTCCAGTGGTTTCTCATCTTTATTCTAGTCTTCCATTATTTGTTTTATCACTACTGGTATTTCTTAAAGCAGGTCACAGCATTCTCTGCCAATGACAGGCAGAGTTCGCAGGTCATCTTCGAGGTATTGTGACCTCTTTCTCGACTGCCGTTCCCCGACATCCCTGTCCACATCCAGCCGGCTGACGGAAACAACATCACACTTATATTTCAGCCTGCCACCCTCTAAATGATGAACATGTAAACGTCGCAGCAGCAGAGAAAGGCCAAAAGGGGTAGACTTTGGCTTCACTGTGGCTGGAGTTGTGTGTGTGGCGCCTCACAATGCAGGTGGCATGTTCCATTACCGAACAATGATTTAGTTGACTCCCAGGTAATAGTCCGCTCTGGTGAGGTCAGCACAAGGCCAGTCTGAGAGAGAACAGAGTTGGTTTGGGGAAATGGAGGTAAGGGACTCCAGGGGCAGTTTATGAGGAGGAGGTGTTCGCAAGACTGAGCGAAAACAGCAAAAAAGAAGTCAAAGGAAGAACTGTATGTCCAGGTAATGGGAAAAGCCAAAAGTTAAGATCATATGGCTGAAATCTAAAATGGTACCAGTTCATATTTCTTCTGAACAAATCTATTGTTGTTAGAATTACTTGAAACCCGAAACAAATCTATTTAATGAAATCAATCAAACTCAAAATGTTTTGTTTCACACATTTTTACAGCTTTCAATAATCTTTTCCACAGAAAAGTAACATACATAGAATAGAATGGAACGGAATCTTACTCAGCGAATCAGCTCGCAACCCAGAGCTTCAAAATAATGACTCCGAAGGGCCCTTCCTTAAAAGTATCCAAAAGATAAATATAGCTTTTCCGTGGTCTGATAAATTCAGTTACAACCAACTTTTTAGATTTGGATACGCTACCTTTAAGCTATTATTTTTCAATACAATCACACATTATATGTTTTTATACGCAAATGCTGTCCATTTAAAATCATAGTATCAAAAATAGTTTTCAGGTTAACTTAAAGACCTTATGCCGGGTTTGATTTATTTAGAAATACAGTTTTAATACCATTTTATATTAGAAGAGAACTACTAAAGGTTTCAAAATCAGTTGTTTTTTTTGTCTGATCCCCCCAAATCGGAATAACCCCATAGCAACGCCCTTAGAGACGAAAAAACGTCACAGCCCTTGGTGACGTCAGAGTGGGTACGTTTCAACGCTGTAAGTTGTTTACAATTTGGTATTCGTTCTTTTTTCGCGGATATTCAAGATGACAAGGCCGTGTACAGCGAGTCTGACATAACTACTAGATTGTAACATTTCGTTGGTTGTGTCGATGGACTGCCAATCCAGACACTGGGGTTCAAATCCCACCTCAGACACTTTTTCACTCTCAAAACGGCAATTTATGTGTAGTGAGCAATTGTCACCTGTAGAGTGCAGTATTGTGTTGGGCATCAGTGGAGAGAAGAGAGAAAAGGCAGTCCTGTGGCATAGATCCATGGTTTTCAATGCATGGGCGTTACCCGCTGTGACGTCACACACAGGTTAGAGCATAGACAACTTAAATTCATGAAAAACACGTTCTTTTTATAAAATATAGGATTTTTTTGCCGGAATCTCTTTCAGATTGACATTGTCATGCAATTTTGATATCCACATTTTTTTTTTTTTAAACCCGGCATAAGGTCTTTAAAGATCTGAAAAAAAATCAAAACGATAAAACAGCGTGAGTTGGAAGACTTGACTTTTGTCTGATCAGCAGACAAGAGCTGAACACTTGCTGCACCGTCACTTGTCCACTCCAATCATCACGTAGCTCACCTCCGCACGCAGGCCGGAGCGTGACGCCGCCGCGATAAAACAAGGCCAGAAACAGAGCACCGTGGACGGGCAGGGGGGATGCGAGCAGAGCCTCTGTACCAATGTGCTCTGACAGTTTTGCACACCAGAGCGTGGGATGACCGTCCATCGATGTCACTGTCCAGAGAGAGCCACTGCGTGATTGGTTAGTCACATCCTTGTCTCTCGCTGTTATCATCACCTCAACATTTGGCTGTTGCCTCCTTGTTGAAAAGAGGAGTTAGTTTGAGCTGTGACTGGGAACTTTCCAGTGTTATCCTGTGATGATGACTTAAGTACACTCATGGACAATTATTAACATTTATGGAGATTCAAGTTTTTGAAAGATATGTATGTGCCTTTTCTGTGTCAAAATGCAAGAGGTTGGACAATCTGTTAGTTTATGGACCACTGCCATTTAAAGATCTATGGACCAACAAAATAATTTAAAAATCAATTCAGTTGATGTCATTAATCCTTGCGTTCTGTTTACAAAGAGCATATTTTTACACAAAGCACAGCAAGAAGATTGAAGTCTGAACATCTGTACTCAAGTTCACGAGGCATAAGTAAATCAGAAGTAATATGAATTTGATAAACTGAAGCGCTTCATGAACAAGCATAATCATTTTTAAGCCAACGGATCTTTTACTATAGGTGTAATGTTTTGATTTCTATTCATTCCACCAGGTTAAGCGCTTGTCTTTCAAAAGAAGCAAAAACACATTTTAACTCAAGACAAAATTAACCTTTTTGAATCAGGTTAAAAGCTTGTTGAGATTAAACATTTCTATGACATTGACCAATCCAAGTGAAGTGGCAAGATCCCAAGTTAATTACCATGCAGTAATTGTATTGTATAAGGTTGAAAAGTATTGTGCAATACATAGATCATTTTGAATTTCTCCAAAACAATTGTGATAATACCCAACATTTTTCAGTACACCCCCTCCCCCTGTCTAATAATGAACAGCTCTGCCTAAAATGTTCTGTCTCACTGCTTACTTTTTTGCCCTGTGACACGCCGCACTTGTTTTATGGATTATAAATGGTCTCATTAACTGTAGCGCTCATTAGCTCTAGGTCCTAATTAACCAAAATTAATATAGCTTCCTGACAAAGACAATGGCACCGGCAAATTGGCAATTGACCTGCTTGGCCAAAATAGAGAAAGGGTACAAGCGACAGGAGCTGGCTGGTATATTTTCAAGCATCTCTCCAGCAAAACCTATGGCTCCTTCATCTGAGATAATCCTCGGACATGTTTTGGCTGCAAATCAATCGTCAAAGGCACAAACAACTATTACAGCCATTTTGTAAGGTTCATGAGCGCTTGTAATTACGGGCATCAGCAGAAAAACACTGCTCTCTGACAAATGGCCCGCTGCCAAAGAGGTTGTGTGAAACAATGAGAAAAAGAGGAGATGACAGAAAAGTCGTGACTTAAGAGAAGAAAGATCGCTGCTTCTCAGACAACCTGTTAAATGCCAAACAGCGTCTTGTCAGCGAGATAAGAGTTTCAATTATGTCAACTCCATATTCACGTCTTCTAATGTTAGCATGTGCACGTATTCACAGGAAAGGAAAACAGTTTATAAACCTCTCCCAATCTCACACAAAACATGCACCACACAAGTGCCCATTTTTCTCCCAGACAGGCAGGTAAAAGCAACATTTTCAAACAGTGTTTACTTTGTGATGGCTGAACCAGTCTTTACAGTGGCTGGAGACAGAAACAATTATCATGGTAAGACTACTATGTCATCCAGTGTTATTATCACTGACTATTCTGTATTTTCCTACTGGTGCAGTGCCCGTATTTTGATATCGGGAGCACGGGGATTCCATTTGTTGTTTTGTTCTAAGTAAAGATTTTCAGAGATTTCCAGAAATATCATAACATAGACAGATCAAGCATGATAATTATTTCTAATTGCCCTAAATTAATCTGTAAATAATTTGTAAATTTCTCCTATGTGAGATAAATAAAGCACATCTTATCTTATCTTATATAATCTAATAACCTTGCTACATAATTAACTGCATATTGATTAAATATTTTACAAAATAAAAATAATTCACATTTTAAACAGGTGCTGGAAAGTTCTGTGCAGTTCATGTGCAACAATTTCACAGATTTTCAAGTAGTTGTAAAATATCAGATCAATCAAGGTATAGGCATTGTAATCAAAGCTTTCTTTTAATCAATCAAGGTAATAACTTCACTATCTTACAATTGTCTGGTATAGAAGAACCAAATAACTTCATCTACTAAGAAGACAAGCTGCACCTTCCTAAATGAATAGATTCATCGTTTCAGCCCTAATGATAAGTTTGTGTAAGCTCTCAGTCGTACAGGGATTAGTCAAAGCAAAGGAAGGTTTCTCACCCATCATCTGTACTTCTTAGCAAGTTTTCCCGACGTTTCGTCCTCAACCTAGCGGACTTCTTCAGGGAATGAATTCTCGGACTGCGCGTTGGAGATTTATAACCTATGGGTGTGGTTAGCCACACCCTAATCCTGATACTAACTCATAAACAATCTACGGTCTGCTTGATGTAGAAGGGAGCAGATCTAACGACCCTGCTGAGGCTAACGACCCTAACTCCTTAGCATGTCACAGACCTATTGTCTGCTGGGATCATGTGACATGCTAAGGAGTTAGGGTCGTTAGCCTCAGCAGGGTCGTTAGATCTGCTCCCTTCTACATCAAGCAGACCGTAGATTGTTTATGAGTTAGTATCAGGATTAGGGTGTGGCTAACCACACCCATAGGTTATAAATCTCCAACGCGCAGTCCGAGAATTCATTCCCTGAAGAAGTCCGCTAGGTTGAGGACGAAACGTCGGGAAAACTTGCTAAGAAGTACAGATGATGGGTGAGAAACCTTCCTTTGCTTTAGCCCTAATGATAATTGACATTGAACTAAAAGAAAAGCTTCATTCTTCCAACGATTGGTGGAAGAGCAATAGACTCAAATTGTTTCCTAGTATTTGTAGTAGTAGTATCCAAAACACTAGTAGTGTTATGGATATGTTAAGCCTGCAGTGGTCCAGACATTTAAAATTGTCTGAACAAAGTTGTATACCGTTGCCAATTAATCTGCTTGAATCAACAAACATGCTGCGATAAACCAATTTGAATAGAGATTAAATGAGGTCTTCTGTTTTATTGACTTTAGCAGCCGAGTTTTCAGGGAAGAGACATGTTTCAGACCAGTGCAGCATGACAAAGAGCAGCGGTGGCGGTAAACAAAGCCACATACATTTGCACCAGAGACTCAGGCTGTAAGTGAGGAAGTGGAGAGGGAGCGCAGCACTTGTCAATTAATCCTATCTGGCACCAGTATGCTGGCCTTTATGAGAACAAATGTCAGCTTTCAAGACAAGGACGAGATAACCTTTCTTCATGAAACTGAACCTCAGAGACCACAGCTATCACTGCAGTCGGCTAATGCACAAGGACTCCCCAAATCTCCACGACTGAGTAAACAAAATATCTAACACAAGTCCTTTTTCAATTTTAAAAAGTATCAGCATGCTAATTACAGTACTGCCACCTCCTGCATGCAAAACATCTTGTAAATAATAATTGTTTGCAGATTATTCAGCGATTATTGAAAACCCACCCAGTCTATGTAACTTTTCTAGATGAATATGCCCAAAAAATAGCATGAAATAAATCTATATTAGTATAGCTATCGTTCGTTCACTTAACTTGTGCCGTGTGCTCCTCTTTCTGTTACTTGTGATGCAACACTGAAATTTCCCCACTGTGGAACGAATAAAGGATCTCTTAATCTCAATCTTAATCTATATTACATTACATTCATCTAACACCTTGATAAACAGTATTTTGGCCATTGTTTTGTGGGGCATTCTGTGTGCATAATATTTCAAGCTTGTTCTGCATGGCTCAGTTTGGTTGAAACGTGTGGACAACAGTTAGACCAGGGGTGTCATTCATGCGGCCCGCGGGCCTCATCCGGCCCGCCAAGGGAGTTTTGAGCCCTGCTGCTGGTACTGCTGCTGGTGCTGCTCCTGTTGCTGTTGTGACATAGCTGCAAATGGAGGTGATGATTTTTGGACATTTGACTGTATTTTACACAAAGACACTGCTGCAGTCGTTAAGAATGGATCACGTTATGGAAGTTGTTTTGCTCATTCCAACTGAATCATGGTCAGTTTGATGCTTTCTCTTTGACAATAACATAACCATGGACCTTACCACACTGAAGATGGTTAAGCTGAGGTGCTGTGTTTAAGTGCTTTTTTCTATCTACCTACTTTACCTTTGTGAGCAAGTTTTCTCTGTAATGAGCCTTGAAACAAAGCTAACATACAAATATTAATATAAATATTGTGAAATGCCATTTACAATGTAATATTGTAAAGACATTACATTATTTGCACTATAAAAAATTCACTGTTACATTTAACAGTGTTTTAAAGGAACTTTTAAATAAATGTGTTTATGTGCAGAAAAAAGTTGGACTTTGTACCGTTTTTGGGTATTTTTGTAGAGCATCCTCTGGTCCGGCTCAGTTGAGATCCAGTTGTATTTGGCTCCCAGACCAAAATGAGTTTGACACCCCTGAGTTAGACAATCCCACCAGGATTTGAACCCATGAGTTTATTGCAGAGAACCGAGGACCATGCTGCTTCTTGTTCAGTTGGTAAGTAATGAAATGAACAAGATTTGCTGCTTAGCTTCCTAAACATTTGCTTAGTTCACCGGGCATTATATAAAGCATTATGTATATATGGTCTGTATCATTCAAAAGATCATTGAAATGCCGCAGTTTCTAGCAAAAAGCACATTTGCACATTTCACAGACAAGTCAACAGCTCTGCGTGCACTTCTATTACATCTAGTGCGCCGACTGACAGAAAAACACTCTGTGAGCGGACCATATCCAGGCAAACTCTAACAGACACAGACCAGAGAGAGAGAGAGAGGTGCGCTGGGGTGAAACATCAATTTCCAGGTTAGCTGCTCTGCATGGCTCAGGCAGGTATCAGGCGTGACCCACCTGGGAGCGATAAGCAGGTGCTGAAGCTGATCTGCCACCAGCTCTGCTCCTGCTAAAGCGGGGAGAGCCACAACAGAACTCCCACAAACAATCGGCT